AAAAAAAAAAAGAAAATAACCTCACCAGAACTCTTGTGTATCACTCCACACCTTATGTACCTCTTCGTCTCGCAAAAAAGACTCAAATCAAATTGATGGAATTCACCCACAGACGATAGCCAAAAAATCCAAACAGCAGTGAAAGCAAAAGAAATATAAGTTCAGAATGGAAGTAGAAGACAAAGAATCTAAATAGGTTTTTTTTTTTGGTTTCTGGATAAAAGGAAAGATGATTTTAGAACTAGAAGTAAATAACAAATATCTTGAGATTTGACAATAACTTTTTTTTTTGCCATTTTTTCGCTTTTTTTTTGTGTTGTCTCTTGGTTAGCACATACTTTTTTATTGAAAGAAATTTGACTACAATCGACTTAAATTGATATAAAACTTGATCTTAAAGCCCTAATACCATATGACACGGCCCGACCGCGTATAATTATGCCCATAAGAATTTCCTTAGCCACAAAGTTCAATAGAGATTCAATGGTTCGGAGTATAGGTGAAAAAAGGGAGAATAAAGAAAAAGGATAGTGCAAAGAATGTGAATTAACATGGATGATAACCAACCATAAGAATAAATCTCGAACTTGAAATAAAAACCATAGTTAAAACACAAACAATAGGCTCGATCCCACTACAAAGGATTGGAAGCCACGAACCGATGGAATCACTCCAAAAACCAGATTTGACATAAGCGAGGATATAGAAGAAAAGATAGTGCAGAGAATGTGAATTAATATGGATGATAACCAACCACGAGAATAATTCTCAGACCTGAAATCAAACCATAGATTAGAACACAAACAAGCAAAGGATTGGAAGCCACGAACTGATGGAATCACTCCAAAGATCCGATTTGAGACTCTAAATGCGAGGAAATCACATCCTAACACTAGAAAATTATAAATTTGAAATTTGATTCAAGATATAAAAAATTTCCATTACAATGATAGGCAATGGCCTTATATAGAGGTCATTGAGGAAAATAAAAGACAACAAATAGTAAAGAAAACAAACCAAAAGGTAAGTCTAACTATAAAGAAATAAATAATTAGTAAAGTTTTAGATATTGAATTATACTATATGGAAACTTATAATAAAAGGAAATATATATTAAGGTAACTTCTAGAAGCCTCCATAAGTGATGATTCCCTTGATAATCTTTCATGATTAGCGATTCTTTTGATCTTTCAATTGGGATTCTTGCGGGTCCCATTGAAGGAGCGTTAGGCGAGGGCTAAGTGGTCTCCAAGCATCATCCTTAAATTGATTCTCCATGAAAAGTCGTCCGGTCAATGCAGTGACGGATTCTTGAAACTGACGAGCTCGGCTTCAAGTGATGGGTCCCACGGGCATTTGAATCTTTGAAGATTGGACGTCCTTGCCACTTTCTTCCATTTAGAAGGAAAATGATTAATAAGTTTTTGAATAATAATACTACAATTACTGATAAATAAGCAAAATTGTTCATAATTTCTCTGTGATTTCGATATTCAGTGCAAAACCTCCCTATACTTTAAAAATTGCATGGTGTCCCCTTATAGTTTAAAAAAGTTGCATGAAACTCCAACACCATGAAACCTCCCTTGTGTGATGAGAAGATGATTTTCTATTTATATTTTTTGCATGGTGGAGGGTTTTATACAACATTTTTTTAAGTATAAGGGAACGCCATGTAATTTTTAAAGTAAACTGGGGATATTCACTTAGTTTCAAAAACACACAGGGGTTTTATGCAATATTTTTAAAAGTATAAGGGGGTGTTATGCAATTTTTAAAATAAATAAAAAATTTACGCCGAGTTCGAAACTACGAGGAAATTATGGCAATTTTTCCATTATAAATACTCCGGAAGTATTGAGGATGAGTATATATTGAATAATTAATTTACTGAGACAATATATATAAACTAGTATTAGGTGAGCAATTTGGGCCGGCCCGGATTTGAAACCCATCCTCAAATTTTGATGAAATATAAAATTTACCAGCTATGATTTGATTTATGTTATTATTATTTTTAATTAATATACATATTAATATATTAAATTTTAAGTATTAATTATAACAAATCAGATCAGGCAAGATACGATCTGAACTTCATGGGCTGAGCACAGCCGAATGTTCGACTGTGTTTATTTTCCAACGCCTCTAAGTAGTATGTATCCGGTGCTATATATCAACATTTACATAAATTGATATATAATTTAATTTTAAACTATAAATAATACTAGTAGTATTTTGAGAAACAATTTTTTGAAGAAGAGCTAGTTTGACCTGTCAAAAAATAAATTTAGGTATTTGATAAATTAGCTTTTTGAAAAAGCTTTTTGGACCTAAAAAACTAATTTTTGAAAAGCTCATCTACCCAGCATTTTGAAAGAGCTTTTTTATTTTAATTTTGGTTATTCTTTATTTACTCTTAAAACTTAATTATTTATTTTATACATATAAAAATATTTAAATAGTATTATTTATTAATTATTTTTAATCTATTTAATATATTAAATTATATTTTAAAATTTATAAATTTAAAATAATGACTATTATTAATTATTACATATAAATTATTTTATTTGTAAAATATATAAATTTTTATAACTAAATCAAATAAAAAAACAAATGTTATTAATTTATTTATATATATTAAAACAATAATTAACATAATAAAAATAGATATACAAAATATTTATTATTTTATAATTTACATAATTTTAATAAAAAATTATTATTTTTTAGTAAAAATAATTTTCTCAAATCTAAATAATAAAAATAAAAATAAATATTTTATAATATTTTTATAATTTTCAATAATTAATAAACAACTAATGTTAAACAGTTGTTTTACCAAACACTTTAATACAAACTGCTAATTGAATCAACTAGTCAACACAGCTAATTAAATAAATTAACAACTAATAGCTAATTAAATGAGCTAATAACTAATTGACATACGCACCTTAAACTTTTTTTATATAAAAATAGTCAAAATTATTTCCCAACAGAATAGGCAATAAACATAAATTAATATATAGAATAAAAACATAAGAAAAGTCAATGAGATAGAAAATAAACTAATGTAAAAATATAAAATTTAGATTTAAAGAATATATAAAATAAAAAAATATAAATAAAAAATATAATAAATCCAAATGAAAACAACAATATTAACTAATGAGAATATATATAAGTTTTGTAAAATTCATATATTAATTTAAATTCAAATAATATACTGTATCCGTCCCAATTCAAAATATTATTTTTATCGATTTCGTCCGTCTCACTTTAAAGTATTCATTTTCTATTTTAGAAAAAATAATCATACAATAATAGTAAAATAACATTAACTTTTACTTAAATTATAAATATACATATGCAATTACTTATACATAAAGTCAAACGGGAAAAATGTCAAAACTTCTTACAAACTTCCACCAACTAATAAAATACTCCATTTGTCCCTTTTGAAAGGGGTCCTTTGGAATTTTGTAGTAAATTAAAAAATAATAGTATTTTATTGGTCGGTGGAGGTGTGTAAGAAATTTTTGATATTTTTGCCCTTTGACTTTTTGTATAAAGTAATTTTATGCGTAATAGTATGTTTGCAATTTAAGTAAAATTATGAGTATTTTGGTATTAGTGTAGAATTACTTTTTCTAAAATAGGAAAGTAATACTTTGAAATGGGACAAACGAAAATGATAAAAAAAATACTTTGAATTGAGACGAAAAAAGTACTATTATTTTTTAATCTATTGCAAAATTTTAAATAACTCCTTTAAAATGAAGCGCATGGAGTAATTTAAATTAAAAAAATCACTCATCCAGACCATATTGAATTGAAAAGTGAAATGAATTTGAAAATAATTCATAATTATAGTGAGAAAAAAGAGAATTTTTTATTACTATTATCTATCGTTTCCTATACGTTGTTAGTATAAAAAATATAAATAGTATAAAAAAAATTAAAATATTCAGTAAACAAAATAAAACACAAATATAGAATATTAGATAATGTGAATATAAAGTCTAAAACAATTGCAGCCCACTTTTATACATGTATGCTACTGTCTAAACATTTATTTAACAATGATAAAAATATTAAAAATTTCTCTTTTTCTAACGGATATGCTTGGTTTTTTTTTTTTAATTGTATTTTTAACTTAATATGAATTTTGCAGTTGGGCTAGCTAGACCGATTCCTATGTATGAATGAGTTAGTACATGCTATCGAGATTGAATAATGGTTAAGTGAACTAAATAGATTATTCATATCAACAATATGTACATTTTTTTTAAGAATGAGTGAGGACAAAAGCGCATTCGAAGTACTCCTTGACACGGCCGTCAAAGCTTAGAAAAAAAGATTATTGAATATGGACTTGCTAGATATTACAATTCTCTTGTATCCGACTCAAAGGTCACCCAACCGAGTCATCCCAATGTTAGGATCACAAGAACCGGAACTTCAAAACTAAGACAACAAAAAATTATGGAAGAATCTCAAAATTACCTTATTATATATACTTTTATTATAAGTTTCCATATAGTATAATTCCATATCTAAAACTTCCCTTATTATTTGTTTCCTTATAGTTAGACTTACCTTTTGTTTTTTTTTTTTTTATTAATTATTGTATGTTATTGTCCTCAAAGACACCTATATAAGGTCATTGCCTATCATTAGGGGTGGAAATAGGCCAGGCGGCCTGTCAGGGGCCTATGACCTGGCCTACATCAAGCCTGGCCTGGCCTGTTCTATTTATTAGAAAGGCCAGGTTCAGATTTTTGTTAAAGCCTGTTTATATATACAGAATAGGCTTAGGCTTATGAAAAAACCTATTTACTAAACAGGCCGGCCTGTTTAATAATAATATTATTATTATATAAAATTATTTTTTATTATTATAAAATAAGAATAGTTTTATATATAATAATGATATATAAAAAAAAAAATTTAATTATAAATTTATTATAAAAAACAAAAATAAAAATAATTTTTATCCCAATAAAAAATTTCAAATATGAACAACTACTGCACACATGTTCCTTTTTTTGTTTCTTTTATCATAATTCAAATATTATCCCGCTGTAAACTGAACAACAACTGTCCATATTCCTTTTCCACCGCTGCAAGCCTGCAACTGCTGCCAGACCTCCACGCCGTCCAGGGTTTTGCAATCTTCTTCACAGAGACCCACTACTTTTCTTTTTCCTTCTTCTGTCTTCATCGCCTCTTCTTTTTTATTGCTACCGGTGGAATTTGGAAAAATAAGGTAAATATCGTTTTTATATGTTTTTTTTCGTTATTTTTATTTAGATATGAATTTCAATATATATATTTTTTGTTTTTTTGTTATATTTTATTTATCTTATATATTTTTTTATGACGTTTTTTTTGGTTTTTTATAACGTCATTTTTTTAAAATAGTTTTGTTATTTTATTTTTGTGTTTTATATTATTTAGATTAAAATGAAAATTTTATATTTTTGTAGAAAAATATAAGATATATATTTACAAGAATGAACAGTTTCTGATATTTTCGTTTATAATGTATATCATTAATTAAATAAATTTTTTTATTTATTTTGAAGCAGGATATGGCTTCGATGGATGAAACAAATATTTTTGATCTTCCATCTGATACACACAATAGTATATCAGTGGATTCCCTTTCAAGCCAACCTGTGGATGATAACAGAAATGAAGACGAAAGGAATTCAAATCAAGCAAATGAAGGTGCCAATAGGAAAAAAAGGAAAAAAACTTCAATTGTGTGGAATGACTTTGATGAAATTCAAGTTGCTGAAGGTGTTAAGAAAGCTATTTGCAAATACTGTAAAAATGCATTTGCTACTGGGGGAAGAGGTGCGAGCACAAGCCATCTAAAGAGACATTCAGAAGGGTGTTTGCAGAGGTCAGTACAAATGGCTTCACAAAAGACACAAAAGAAACAATGTGTCATTCCTTTTAAGCCATCCAATTCAAGTAATCCGTTTATAAGTCCGGGGTTTAGATTTTCTAATGAAAAGATGAGGGAAGTCATTGCCACTTCTATTATGGTACATGAGTATCCTTTTAGCATTGTAGAAGACGATGCTTTTATATGGTCATTTCAGTATGCGAACCCTGAATTTCAGAAAGTTTCTCGTAAGACGATACGAAGTGATTGCATAGCAATATATGAAGCAGAAAGAAAAGCATTGAAGGAATTATTAAAGAGTGTGAGCAAGATTAGCTTGACAACAGATATGTGGAAATCCAGTCATCAAGTGATTGAATATATGGTAATCACTGGTCATTTTATAGATTCTGGGTGGAAGCTTCAGAAAAGAATTTTAAGCTTTGTCAAGGTGCCTGCTCCAAGGCGAGGAATTGATGTAGCCAATGCCATTTTCAAATGTTTGAAGGCTTGGGGGATCGAAGATAAAGTGTTCTCAGTATCAGTTGACAATGCTTCATATAATGACTCGTGCTTGAGGTATCTAAAAGACTACATATCACGCAGCACCAAGCTTGTCCTCGATGGAGCTCTATTTCATGTTAGATGTTGTGCACACATATTGAATCTTTTGGTGCAAGATGGGCTTAGTCGAATCAAAGATATCATCCATAATGTTCGTGAAAGTGTGAAGTATGTAAACTTCAATGATTCAAGATTGAAGAGTTTTGGTGAAGTAGTTGAACAAAAGCATCTAAAAGAAAGGAAGTTGATAATTGATTGTCCAACAAGGTGGAATTCTACATATCACATGTTAGCCGCTGCTTTAAAATTCAAGATTGTCTTCTCAGAATACCAAGAAAGAGAACCTCATTATACATTTGCACCTTCAAATGAAGATTGGGAGAAAGTCGAGAAAGTTTGTAAACTTTTAGAGGTTTTCAACTTAGCTACCAATTTAATATCTGGAAGTGAATATCCTACTGCCAACTTGTATCTTTCAGAGGTCTGGAAAGTGAAGCAAGTAATTGATGATGCGACAAAGGATGATGATCTTTTTATGATACAAATGGCAACGCAAATGAAAGAAAAGTTTGATAAATATTGGGGTGAGTGCAATCTATTGATGGCTGTTGCAAATGTATTGGATCCGAGAGTTAAATTTCATGGTGTTGAAATATGTTTTCCAATGATATACAAGTCTGAAGAAGTTGCTGCCGAGTATGTGAACAAAGTGCGTGCTTCACTGCAACAACTATATAATGATTATGTGGCCTTAAGTGTTGAAGAATCATCCTCAAGTCAGTGCAATATGGCTAACATCTCCTCTGCCACCACCCAATCTGAATCTGCGATAGTTACTGGGTTTGATCAAATTATGAGTCTTGTAAAAGCAAAAGAAGCAATTCCTGTATCAAAATCTGAATTGGATGCCTATCTCGAGGACAGTGTTTATATTCCTGATGGAAATATGTCTTCATTTTGTGCCTTGGAGTGGTGGAGGAACAACAGCATGAAATATAAAGTTTTATCGAAGATGGCTGCTGATGTACTTGCGATTCCAATATCAACGGTAGCTTCAGAGTCTACATTTAGTGCTGGAGGTAGAATTATAGATGAATATCGTTCAAGATTGAATGAAGAATCTATTGAGACACTAATTTGTGGAGGAGATTGGCTTCGACATAAATACAACTTGAAAAAAAAGAAGGTAAATTTTATTATTAACTGTCTTTTCTTTATCTTATTCATCACCCACAATATATTTTTTTCTAATAAAAATATTTCTCTCATTTGAAGGTGAATGAGTCTTTGAAGGAGATAAGCTTATAGATTAAAGAAGTTCTTTAATACTTTGGTTGCGGTACGTTTTAAATTTATAATATTTTCTGAAATTTTTTATACAGATTAATTGTTTGAAAATCTGATTTTTTTAGTAAGATATTGTTGTTGCATGATGTATTTTGGGAGGATTCAACTTTGATTTTCTGAAATTTGTTGCAGGATGTATTGTTTGAAATATTTAGATAGGTTTGCAGGTGGTTGTTTTGATATTACAATTATTTATTTATTTTTTTAAAATATTTGGATAGATTTGCAGGTGCTGAAATTTTAAATTTTGATTTCAGGAGTGGAAATGCTAATGTCCAGAAGATATTATTGATCTATTTGCTATTTTTCTCTTGAAACTTTTATTGTATTGGTAAGTAAGATATTCCTTTTTTCTTTTTGTTCTAATATAATTTTTTGATGCTTTGCGTAATTTATATATAGAAGGAAGAAATTTCAGATATAATACTAATTTGATCAACTTTTGTACTTGAACAGATTTAATGGTTTCAGAAACTTTGGGGGAATTTGCAATTCTTGTGGCTTGTGGCCTGTGGGTGACGTGAACTTGAAAAACTATGTTATTAATTTCTAAATATTTTTGTCGAATTTTTTAATATTGCTTCTGAGTTAGCGTTGCTTATTTCTTTGTTAGAACAATCAGCTTAATGACAATAGATTGATGTAAACTGTTTTTTTTTTTAATGTCATTATGCAGTAATTTCTATCAGCTTTTGTCTGGAGTTTGCAAGACTTATTCCCAATAATTATATATATATATTTGAATGAATTGTAATATACGTTTTTTTGCAAATTATTAGTATAATATATTGTATTTTTATATGGCAATAAAAATGATTATTTTTGTCATTAAAAAACAGAATTTTTTATTTTTTTATATATAATATAAATAATTGTATCTGTTTTATTTTTTATTTATAGTACGAAATTTACAAAAAATAATAATAATAATAATAATAATAAATTATTATGTAGCCTTTTAAACAGGCTCGTAGGCCAGGCCAGCCTTTTAAAAAGGCCAGGCTCAGGCTTTAAAAATATTTTTTTTCAGGCTGGTAGGCCAGGCTCAGGCCATATCTTTTTAAGACAGGCCAAGCCTATTTAACCAAAGCCTGGCCTGGCCTGGCCTATTTCCACCCCTACCTATCATTGTAATAGAGTAGAGTGAATTTTGAATAAAATTTTCTTATTGTTTCCTCTCAATATTTGTCTAGTGTTAGGATATGATTTTCTTCCACTTAGATATTTCAAATGGGGTCTTTGGAGTGATTCCATTGGTTTGTGGTTTCCAATCCTTTGCAGTGGGATTTAACCTATTATTTGTGTTTTAATTTATGGTTTGATTTCAGGTCCGAAACTTATTCTCGTGGTTGGTTATCATATATATTAATTTACATTCTCTACACTATCAATTCTTCTTTATCCTTCATTCTTTCAAATCGGGTCTTTGGAGTGATTCCATCAGTTCTTGGCTTCCAATCCTTTGCCGTGGGATTAGCCTATAGTTTGTGTTTTAGCCTATGGTTTGATTTCAAGTCCGAGCCTTTCTCGTGGTTGGTTATTATCAGTAATTCACATTCCCTACACTATATTTTCTTCTTGACTCTATTTTCTTTGATCCATATTCTTAATCCATTGGTTCTATTGAATTTTATAGCTAAGGAAATTATTTTGGGCATAATTATGCACAGTCGGGCCGTGTAATCTGGTATCAGAGCCATGTGCTCAAGTTTTCTATCAACCTGAGTTATCCTTAGTCGATTATGTTCAAAAACATTAATTTTTGGTATTTGTCACCATCTCGTTCTTTATAATTTTTTTCCTACTTTGCGTTAGAGTTTTCTCGATATTGTCTTTGGGAAAATTGAGTCTTCTTGTGAGTCGTAGAGTCGATGAATATCGTGTTCGGGAGAACAAGAGTACTTTTCAAGAAGAAGGATATGATGCGGCCATCCAAGCTCAGAAAAAAAAAAGATTATTGAAGATGGACTTGCTAGACATTACAATTCTTTTGTATCCGACTCAAAAGTGACCCAACCAAGTCATCCTGAGACCAGGATCACAAGAACCAGGACTTTAGGACTAAGACAACAAATAATTATGGAAGAATCTCAAAGTTACCTTATTAAATGTTACCTTTTATTATAATTTTCCATATAGTATAATTCCATATCTAAAACTTTTCTTATTATTTGATTCCTTATAGTTAGACTTACCTTTAGGTTTGTTTCATTTATTATTTATTGCATTTTCTTTTTCTCAAGGACCTCTATATAAGGTCCTTGTCTATCATTGTAATAGAGTAGAGTGAATCTTGAAGTAAATTTCTTTATTGTTCCCTCTCAATATTTTTCTAGTGCTAGGATGTGATTTCCTCCCACTTTGATATTTTAAATCGGGTTTTTGGAGTGATTCCATCAGTTCGTGGCTTCTAATCCTTTGCAGTGAGATTTAACCTATTGTTTGTGTTTTAACCTGTGGTTTGATTTCAAGTTCGAGACTTATTCTCGTGGTTGGTTATCATCCATATTAATTCACATTCTCTGCACTATCTTTTCTTTTTTACCTTCCCTTCTTTAAAATCGGGTCTTTGGAGTGATTCTATTGGTTTGTGGCTTCCACTCTTTTGCAGTGGGATTTAGCCTATTGTTTGTGTTTTAACTATGGTTTTGATTTCAGGTCTGAGACTTATTCTCGTGGTTGGTTATCATCTATACCAATTCACATTCTTTGCACTATATTTTCTTCGTCATTCTTTTTTCTTTTATCCATATTCTTAATCCATTGGTTCTATTGAACTTTATGGCTAAGGAAATTATTCTTAGCATATTATACACGGTCGGGCCATGTCACATATACAATAAGGAATCTCACATGTCTCTTACATGCATGGGGGACCCATTAGGCTAGTAGTTGTCTCTCATTGACAGATTCTTCATATAATCCATTCCACATTGGGAAACCTATCCACTATCCCCTTTTATCACTCCTATAAATAGGGGGTTTTGGATGCTTTGTAAGAAAAACCAAACAAAACTACATTTTTATGAATATTTGATCATTTATGATCATTTCTTTTTATGGAAGTTAAGCTTGTTAGAAATACTTCACTTTTAGTATAATATTTCCTAAAATGCAATTTCATTGCATGCTTCATGAGGTTTAGTTTTAAAATTCGGGTTTGAGTGTAAAACCTGAAGTCCGTGGCATTTTGGGAAGGTGAAAGAGCTCTCCAAAGTGTCGACCAAGGTGGTGCCTTCATAGAAAATGATTCGGTGCTAGAAGGGTATTGGGTCATGCCTACGATAGTATTTAATTAGGTTTGACTCTCTTTCGATTATTCTTTATCTTGCTTTATTCAGTCCGTTTAGTTTATTAATTCTCTTTTTTTGCTTAATTAGTGTCATGGACCGAATTGATCAATTACACAAAACACAGAACAAACTACTAAGCGAAACTAACTAGTAAAGCAACAAGAAAGAACAAACTACTAAACGGAAATAATTAACCAAGAAAAAAGAACAAATTAACTAAACATAACGAATAAAGCGAGAAAAAAGATAGTCAAAAGAGAATTAAACCTAAGTAAATACAACATAAGCACGACCTGATACTCTTCTAGTATCGAACTATCCTCTACGAAGGCACCACCTCAGTTGACACTTTGGAAAGCTCTTCCACCTTCCTCAAATGCCATGAACTTGAGGTTTTATATTCAAACCCGAATTTTGAAACTAAACCCCATATAGCATGCAATGGAATTGCATTCCATGAAATATTAGAGTAAAAGAGAAAGTATTGCTATCAAGCATAACTTTCCATAAAAAGAAAATAATTATAAATGATCAAATATTTATTAAAATATAATTTTTCTTGGTGTGTAATACAAAGCACCCAAGGGAACCTATTTATAGGGAGTGGGGTAAGGGGATAGTTGATATGTTTTTCCATGTGGGATAGAAAAATCTCTCAAAGTGAGACAACTAAACCTAATGATCCCCCATGCATGTCAGAGACATGTGACAGATCCTATTATATATATATGTCTCAAGAGATGGTCCCCCCAATTTGTGCATGTGCAATCCAATTTTAATGTAATTACATATTAAACCTCTATTTTTAGCATACTTCTAGGTTTGCATAACTTTTCCGTTAGTTGTCCGATTGAGGTGTTGCAAGCTTCAACATCGGCATTCCTGAACAAGTCTTTGGCCATTCTAACATGGGAATCAATTGTTCCCCAACTTTTAATCTTCATAATCAAACCTTGTAATTTGTCAACGCATGGTGTCTGTTGGGTTCTCGAAGCTGGTCCGACATGAAGTATTGGAATTGTGAATCTTCGCGTCCGGACATCCATGTCATCACTCAGGTTTCACCTTTACGACTGACACGGCCCGACCATTTTTTTATCCAAAAATTTTAATAGAACCAAAGGATTTTGAATATGGATGAAAGAAAATAGAACAAAAAAGAAAAGATAGTGCAAAGAATGTGAATTAGCATGGATGCTAACCAACCACGAGAATAAGTCTCAGACCTAAAATCAAAACCTTAGGCTAAAAAACAAACAATAGGCTAAATTCCACTGCAAATGATTGGAAGTCACGAACTGATTGAATCACTCCGAAGACCCGATTTGAAACTTTAAATGCGAGAAAATCACTCCCTACACTGAAAATTATAAAGGTGAAATTTGATTCAAGATGTAAAACTCTCATTACAATGATAGGCAAGGACCTCATATAGAGGTCTTTGAGGAAAATAAAAGGCAACAAATAATAAAGGAAACAAACTGATGAGGACGTCAAACGCCCGTGGGACCCATCACTCGAAGCCGAGCTCGTCAGTTTTAGGAATCCATCACTGTGTTGACCCGATGATTTTCATGGAGAATCAATTTGATGATGATGCTTGGAGACCACTTATCCCTCACCTAGATTCCTTCAATGGGACCCGCAAGAATCGAAATTGAAAAATCAAGAGAATCATCACTTATGGAAGCTTTTAGAAGTTACCTTAATATAGATTTTCTTTTTTTATAAGTCTCAATATAATATAATTGTATAACTAGAACTTTTTTTTATTATTTATTTCCTTATAGTTAGACTTTTATTTTGGTTTGTTTCCTTTATTATTTGTTACCTTTCATTTTATCAAAGACCTATATGTAAGGTCTACCTTTGTATATCTTGAATCAAATTTCACTTTTATAATTTTTTTATGTTAGGGAGTGATTTCCTCGCACGTGTGTTTGTTTGGGGGATTGGATTTTAAATACACTATTCATCTCATTTTTTCCCCAAAAAATATCAAATCAAACACATTTTTTTTCATTTTTTATATTATACTAAAAATCAATTTTACATTCAAAACATCACATCAACACCTATTTATATCACATCATACAACTTTTCAAATTCAAAATTTTTACTATTCAAATCCCAACTCAAAATCCAAACCCCCAAACAAACACACCCTTAGAGTCTCAAATCGGGTCTTTGGAGTGATTCCATCAGTTTGTGGCTTCTAATCCTTTGGTGGGATTTAGCCTATTGTTTTTGTTTGAACCTATGGTTTGATTTCAGGTCCGAGAGTTATTCTCGTGTTTGGTGTCATGGACCAAATTGATCAACTACACAAGATACAAAATAAACTACTAAG